TGCAACTGCATCATAAATTACGTGATTTGGATACTAAAATTCACCACTTATATGATAATCCAGACACTCAGCAGGTGATACTCACTGATTGCTGCTATACAATACTCAAGTACAATTAAGGATTTTGTATGACTTGTATTAAAGACACATAATGTATTTAAATACCAACCAAAATAATTCTGGTTTACATGCCCTCCTTTTCTTCACAAAAAGGCTGACTTCAAAAAGTCTTCTGACTTTTATAGGATGTATTTTAGCTCTAACACTTTCGCAGTAATTTCTCCAAGGAAAAAAGTTTTCTTAATATACTGGGAAGCAGTTTTGACTGGAATCAATATTGCTGGATTTTTTAAACTCTATCTGTAGCTATAACACAGACACCCATCTGGCCTTGAACCAAATTTATCAAGTGTCCTCTCAATCTAATTAGGAGACAAATGTTCTCAATATATATGAACTGGTGACAGTCAGCTGAATTCCCTCACTGGTACATCTTTATTTCAAAGCTCTGCAATTTTTTAGATACAGTGAAGGGTGGTTACATATAGTACAAAAGATTTCACATTTACTATCACAAAAACTTATTCTTCCAAATAATTGCTTGTGTTATGCATTACTGAATCTGTGGTCACTGTGAATGTCTCATGGCAAAGATTAATCTGGCAAGCTCAAACGAGTGTATCCATCACAGCCCAAAAGCTCACTAATTACCAGTCCCTTTCCACCCCTTTTCCTTCCCACTTTTCCCCTATGAAAACCTCAGTCTTCTTAAGTCACATTATTGCCATTCCAGCAACATCCAAGGAGGCAAAGATATGGCTGACAGAATCCCTGTGAAACCTTCCCGTAAAGATCAGAAAACTGTTGACAAAGACACAAAAAGCACAGAGGGTGTATCTGACAAAACTGGAGAGGCCAAATGGAAAAATAAAAATGCCAAAGAATGTTGAGAAAAGCAGCTGTGTATCAAGGGTGTGAGAGAGAGCAGCTTGCCATAAAATCCTGAAATATTTCCTTTCAGAGGAAAATACCATATATTCCCTTTTAATTTACATACTTTATATTTCATATTTCTTATTTGATTTTTTCTACTGATTTAAATGTAAGCATATATAATAGTACGGACATGTCTTTTGCTTGTAAGATGACAAAAAACACCAGGTCCAGCAATGCTTTGTACATACAAGAGCTGCTGAAGAGTCACACTGCTTCTTCCCTCCATGCTTCTCCTCTCCCACGCTGGAACTCTCCCAGGTGTCATCTATTTTCTGTGCATGGTGTATGAAGCACTTACCTTTCCCACATGTAGCAGTACACTCAGTCTTTCCAATCTGTTTCCAGTTGTGTTCTCGGTTTTGTCTTGGTGGTTGCACAGCAGGCACCTGGTTTTCTGGCTGATGAGAAGGAAATCTTCCCGGCTGAATATTTTGAAAACTTCCCGCTGACTGTCCAGTAAGAGTGTCTGTCTCCCTATGCAACTCCTCATCCTCATGATTTGTACTTTCTGGCATTCCTAACTGACCATTCAAGGGCTCCCCTGATGATGGACAATAACAAAAAAGTAAAATAATGAGCCTCACTTGCAAATATCAGTCTATGTTTTCATCCACTAATAATTACAACTGGAGCATCATTAAACTTGAAAGCAGCTTTAATCGGGTATGCAGAGACCTAATAGTGTCCTGAGAAGACTGTCGTTTTAAACTAAGATAACCAAGTCTCAGCCAGCAAATCCATTAAAACTGAAGAATCTCCAAAAACACTGTAGAGTTAATGCACCCAGTGTCAAAATTTCCCAAAGCTTTTTTTTTTGTACCATACTCTCTATTCTGTGCCTCCCCATGTCACAGCACAGCTGCTCCTTATTACAAACAGACTGCAAACAGACTTTGTGACTTGTCTTAACAAATTTCTAACACTAAAAGTAGGACCAAACTCGCTTGCAAATTTTCTACTGTCCTTCAGAACTCCATACCAGTACACACAGCACATATCCACAGCCGAGTCAGGAGCATGAGCTGTCCAGATTCTAGCTTTGGGAAGGCAGCAGTTTTGGGTTTGATCCTCTCCAGTTAGGAGGGGAAAGAGAAACTGTAAAGTGCTGTTTTAATTCATCTCAAACCCTGAAGAGAAAAATCATGTTCTATTTCATTTCTTAGATATGTTACAACACTCCAGCTCATGCAAAGCCAAGGTTAACATTTTAACAACCAAATTGTTACTGAAAGTAGAAATATGTGACCAGATTCCCTGCTATAGTATAAATAATCCCTGCTAGTATTAATTGACTGAAGTTACCAAATTTATGCAGACTTCTCTTTCAACGTGCAGGGTGAAATTCTGGGCACCTCTCACATCAATGGCAGCATTTACACTGAATTTAATAGTATGAATCTCTCCATTAACTTAATACTAGGAAATAGTGGCGTTTTACCTGGCCTCCTGTGAGCAAGCAACTGAGGGCTAATGACATTGTCTCCTGGAATGATATACTCATAATGTATACCTGGGTTAGGCTGCTGATGTATCATCTAAAAAGAAAAACAGCCATATATTCAGTTCTTCTACTTATCATTTTACTAATACTTAAACATGTACTTTAGCTGATCAACTATGTAACATTATTTATCATTAGTCAGGATAGAAAACAATGGTTAATGACTGCCTCCAAAAATGCAAAAAAAGAGATATTTGTTTCTGGAAAAAATAAGAAAATACAGGTTACTATGTTTGCAAACTGAGCTAGTTTGCAATGGTAGAGAAACTGTTTCTCTAAATCTTCTTTGAAAAATGTAAAACTGACATGCTGGCAGCCAAAGTGCAGCTGTGGGCTGCACCAGCCTCAGCCTCGTCCCGTGCCAGTGTGGGCAGCAGAGGCTCACACCAGGCCTCAGCAGCAGAACAGAGGGTCCTAAGGGCACCAAAACATTACCAGATAGAAGGAGCCTGACAGATGCCCAAAAAAACATAAGCAAAGAAGAAACAAAGGAGAGAAATATAAATACCACAGACCCCAATCTACATATCTAGCCAACTGCCTTTTAAAAAGTTTATCAGTGGTACCTGAACGTGGCACATGCAGACAGCATGTGTTACTCTGCATGTACCATCTCACAAATCACACTGTTCCTTTCACCGTGCACCTACCTCTGCACCACTCAACAGAGACTCAACAATCAACTAGGTAAAATTACTGACATTATGCCACCATAAGCACTGCTCAATAAAGACCAAGTGAACAGATTACAAAGGCCCACATAGTTGTTACAGCAGCTGAAGAGCACCTGTACAACCCACCATCCTTCCACCTTAATTTTCAACTGAATGAAGTTGTAAGTCCAGACCCCCACGGCTTTACAGCCAGCCGCAACAACTCTGGCAAAGTGTTCTTTACGAAACACAGGCAAGAATCATAAGCTTTTCTCCTTTAAATGGGAAAATGAAGCTGAGTGGTTTCAGAACGCTGCTGCTGACACAAGCATGCCTCTGAAATCAGTCAGTGTCACTTCTTGTGTGCTTGTTTAAGCAGTTAGGTATAGTAAGACCTGAGCAAGATATGACTTTATGAAAGCTTTTTAAAACTGTCAGCAGCACACTCCATACCCAACTGGCTTATATTATGTTGCTGCTGCTGAGAGTCTGAGCACATGCACAATAGAAACGCAGGGATGCCATCAGCTGCTAATTTCACTAGTTTAGCTTTTATTACTTCAGTACTGGTTCTACTAACACTGCTGCTTTAGAAGTCCAGAACTCTGTGAGGACTGGACTGGTAGAAGCCTCAATTATACTTTAACTTAAAGTACCTTTTTTAAAAAACTAACCAAAATCAAAGAAACACCAGAGCCTGCACTAGCTCTCTTGTTCTGACAAACGATGGGCCAAAAATAAAAGTCATGCTATGCCAATGGCTTTATGACACCCACCAGAGTACACCCAACACTTCAAGGCTTCACTAAATTTGTCACACCAATTAACACCAGCTATGGATTCAGATCTTTGTTTTTCCTAGTGTCAAGATCACTTTTTCTTTGCCAGATATAACAGCTGTTCCTCTAAACTCCGTCCCTCAGAGATAATTCACTTTTCTGAACCATCTAATAATGCACTGCATGTAATACTTTTTGTAAGGGTTGATCCTTTCCATGTCACTTTGTTATCCAAAAAATACACCCTGGTATTGGTCCTGAGAGAGCTGATCACTGTGAAGCTGACTTCAGCAGAAGAGTACCCTGGAACACAAGGGTGTTTATTTCCTGCCAAATTGCTTTACTGCCCTTTTCACGTGACAACTTTCCAGAACCAGGACCTTATACTTAAGATGGTTGCAGGAACAGCTTTCCAATGGTTCCCATGGTTTTTCCATCACATTTCTTAAAATAACTGACAGGCACATGTCATAAAGAGCTTAACTGATGAAGTCCCTAAGAATATATTGTCACTGCTTTCCTGCAGGAAATTACCTGGAAGTATACAATAGTTTTGATTTGAGTTAGTGGACCTAAGTCTTTGAAGCAGTGTATACTTCACACTTAGTCGAAACTTGCGTCTCTTTTTATCTTACTAATTATAATCTGCTGTAACTTAGAGAGCTTTTTCTTCTACATTCCTCTACATTTTTTCAAGTGGAAGAAAGCATGACCTCAGGAAAAAGGAACAGAAAACCATTTGGAGTTCCAGTCCATAAATCTCTTCATTTTTCTACGCAGAGCATAAAGATCATGAGTATGGATGAAAAGAGAATTACATGATTAAGGAACTGCATGACAAAGTCTGAAAAAAGACATTTGTATCTGCACAGCTACAAATTTCAAACCTGTAAAAGAGACTGAGTCATACTGATTATTGATTTTCTTTCATCTAGCATCATCCATTTTTATCTTCCCACACTATACTGAAAAAGACACTGTCAGCTGAATAGTATGAGTTGCAGTATTCCTCACTATCGACAAGTAATCCTCATATCTACAACAAACATCTCAGATGAGAGTCCAGTCAAATTAGATTTGGCAATCCATACTAGCAGCCAGAGCAAAACTGATAGAGCTATGCCCATCATGCCAGCTTTCCTATATTCATTGCAAAAGCAAAAAAAGAAGAGACTAAGCCTAAACTAAAACATTAAAATATGATAAATTTAAGCTTAAGGGTTTTTTATGGTATTACTTTGGAAATATCTGTTTAATCCATGTCCTGATCCTTTTCTCTCTGAGTCATTACATATTAGGCACCAACCAGCTGACAAGAAAAAGTTAAGACCAAACCTCAACTCACAGCATCCTGTAACTACACATGTATTATTAAAACATGGAGTTTGCAGTGCAGAATCTATGGGCTCAACTGTTTAATCTCCCAGGCTTTTTCCAGTCTTACATTGCAATCAATCAGAAACTATACAAAAAGAAGCAATGTTTGCGTAATTATTATATTGCTTTATTAAGATACCATATAGCAGATGGAGAAAAATCTTGCCAACATCTAACTTTTCCCAGCATAGTAATCAGGGTAGTTGCTATTAATTTTTCTATGAAACAACCCAGCACACTCACTTTTCCACCCCGTTATTGCACTTAAAAGCAAAAAAGCTGTAGCTAGATGAAACAACTGTATCACCAGTTAATCTAGTTTTTTTTCAATGAATGGATTTTACCATGTGAAAGTATATAATCTCAGAACGCACCATTTATCTTTGAGTAAGTTGGAATAAGACACAGTAAAAATCTGGCCCATCTGAAGTAAACAGCTTTTTCAATATGATTCTTCCTTCTTAGTCACCATTTGTCTTCTCTCTTCCTGTCTCAAATGGCTATTATCCATGGTCTCCTAGCACAGCATCGTATTAAACCTGCCCTGCTTCAAATCCCACATTCTATGGTTTTTTGGACTTACGTTTCTTTTAAAGAAAACCGAGATAGTATAACTTTGTGAGAGGCCTTGTCTGATTTAGGTATTTGCTTCAGTTCACTGTAACACTAAACTGTGCCAAGTTTGCTTGAGTAGGAAAGTATCCAGAGAAAATCCAGTTTACAAAAAAACCCCAGATATTTTTAAGCTTTATCTCTATTTTATTAAACAAGTAAAATTAGTTTTACTGGATCCGTGACATCTAAGAGAAAACGGCTTTATCATTAATTTTATTTCCTATGATCTGGAGGAAGATGGGAGCAACAGCAAGCAATAGTAAAATATAAAAAATAACGTTTCAAAATTAAAGGAACAAAACAGCAACAAAGTATTTGCACTGAATGCAATTTTAGTGTTGTATGTTAACAATAAACTGAACAACTTTTTTCAATCAGGAAGCTTAATCTAAATACAAGAAACTTACATAGACATCAAGGACTTCATTTGTTGGACCATCAGCTAAAAATGACTCTCCTGCAGTGCTGGAGATTTCATTTGGGCGTTTATAAGTGAACATTGTCCCACCACCTTCATATCTCCCAGGTCGATCAATTGCCCAGTTTCCATTGATGATGGACCGCCCTGATCGACTCCGCAACGCTGTAGAGGATGGGGACAGAAACACAAGGACTTTGATCAGAGGAAATCACCTTCATATACTGGTGCCCAACCAAATCCCCAAAGGTGCATTACACTGTTAGGTGTTCTCTGACACCAGGGGCCAAAGCTGCTGAAAAGAACACAGTTATGTTAGCAGTTGTGCAAAAAACCCCAAGCTTAGAAAACTTTGTCCAAACACTTGGTATGTTTAAGGTGCAAGAAAAGAAAGAAAAATCAAAGATAGCTTGGAAATCTTTTTCAACAGTTTCTCACAGGTTGTCATGCAACTCTCAGCCAGCCAGCAGCATACACTGAACACACATGGTTGCCAAAGAAGCGGTTTTCCTCCACTTCTTTCTCCGAATAATCCCTTGTTGAAAGAAAACCTTCTGTATCGAGAAAATTACATAGTTACAGGTAAAGATGCAGACAGACATATGGAGTAAAGATCAATTATTTCAATTCAAAACAAACAAAAAAAAAGGAAAATAATGAAAAGAAAGCTTTGTAAATTCAAAAATGTGTGTCTATAGGCTTATCAGCTTCAACCCAACAAGAAGCTCCTGAAGGGAACATTTCAATAAGATTCAAGAAGGGACTGGACTTGTAGATTTATTTATTTATTAGATGTAAATCACTGCAAAGGAACATTCTGATATGGAAGGTTTGAACTTCCCAATATTCTCTGTATATGAGGCTAAGACCTGTAACTTGAGCAGATTTTGCATTTTCTAGCTGCATATTCTTACAATATCTTATGAAACACCTTACTGTTGGTCACTACAAAATACAGGGAACTGGACAGATCACTACTTTGATCCACAGAGCAAGTCCTGTAACCCTACTAGAAGACTGAGCTGATACCCATGCTTAAAGATAATCCAGCATAGAAGAACTCAGACTGGAACATAGTGGATGAAGGGACAGTGACACTGACAGTGTCCTAGCCTTGTTAAATTGCAAGATGCGAAGTCTTTTTCCCCTATGGGAGTGGTTGCTGCTGACTAACCAACTATTTTTAATTTACTTAATATTGATGAAATTGTTTATAGAAGATGACTTAATTGTGCTTTTTTGCTAAATTTTGTAAATAGTGCTTAGATACCATCATGTGCTTATGTAAGTCCTTACCATTGTTATTTGTAAATGAAAAAGCAACGGTACAGCAAAGTGGGTGACTTTATCAGTCTCCAAGCATCAACCAACTAGAATTTTCAGTTATGCTTGTGTTTTCAAGCCATCTTGCATTAGTTTGCCTTATAATACACGCAGAAATAGAGGTATGGAATACTAATATATTATCTACTAATAATAGATCTGAATTGCAGTTGTATGGGCTTTACTAACCATCCCTGCACTAACACTATAACAGTCATACCTCTAGAGAGGTTAAGGACTCAGCAACCTACTTTTTCAAAGTGGGGTAACAAATTATATAACATGTGTGCAATCTGTAAATTTAAAATACAAATTGGTTTAGTTTTTATTACTTGTATCCCAGTTTGTGCAAGAAAGTTTTTTTAATATGATTTAATCTGTTTTTCATTAAAAGGAAAATAAGGTAGTAACTGAACAGAAAGGGTATAAACGTAGATAAATTAATTTAAAAGACTTTATATTATTGCATTTCCTTCTTTCTACACTGTAAAAAAAATAATTTTTTTCAACATTCTGGACAAAATGTTAAGATGTAGGAAGGTTAAGGATTAAAGCAGTTGGCTACCACCAGTTCTGAACCTGTGAGGAAGAAGGAAATACAAAGAACTGCCCCTGGACCACCTGTCCCTGTTAAGAGCCTTGATGGGTGAAGTTTCAGACTTTGACTTCTCTCTGTGCAAAGTACTCGGTGGCTTTGAGTGGGTAGACAGAACTGCACCCACATAAACTCAGAAGGCCTGAGACAGGTGGAGAACTTCCCACCTTTTTGGACTTCTGAAGGAAAGCAAAGTTAGTCTGTATCCTTCCCAAAAGAGCACTAAAATAGCGGGTATAATCAAGAACTTGGTACATTTGGCTTGCAACTGAAGTAAAAAATTCAGATTACGTCAATGGCTCTGGATCAGACCCTGTATTCACACATTTTGAAATTTTATTTTACTTAATGCTACATGTTTATTTTCCCAAGAGCTGTCATACATCCACTTGCTTCCTAGGTCTCATTTTCTGACACATTAACAAAACAGTTTCTCTAGCGTGAATGTTACTTGAAAAACACTTTATACAATATCAGCCCTGAAAATGGCATCACCCTTACTAATATAGGGCTGGGAGAAAAAATTACAGTTCACATACTACTGCATACAGGTTAAATATGAAATCCATTCACACTGTTTACATGCTGTTCACACTTATTACATTTCAATTCAAATAACTGTGGAGTAAACACTTCTGCAATATATACTGGAAACTGGTTTTACATTGTCTTTTAATATGCAACATTTCCTTTACCTTATGATCTGACTATCTTTTCTTATATTGCTGCTAAACAAATACAACGAACTAACAAGAGCTCAGAAAAAAAGAGAGAGAGTAAGATTAAATTGGTAAGTAATCTGTAGAAAGATGGCTGGCTGAGAAACTGAGAGTTCATTACACTTTCATTTCAAAACCATCATACAACAGGTCTGAAAGAGGCCTCCCCATAAAAAGGGAAAATGTGCCTCATGTTTTGATCACTCTGCAGCCACCACCTCACCTCTGCCCCCTGAAGAATTTTTATAGTGCTAAAATTTTTAGCCAAATCATGAAAGATTATGAAAAGCTTTACTGTTAATTCCTCATGAGGAATTAGTCATACCATACAGTCTGCAGTGATTTCTTCTATTATCCATCCTGGGATCAGCTTCTCAACTAAAACTGTGTTATCTACAGTGTCTTTCAGTACAGTTCTGCACTAGATATATGGAATATTTCAGGATACAAACTCTGATCAACACTTCTGCTTGGGCTACAATTCTATGGTAAAATCTTGACAGGCTATACATTAAGATTGTATTTCAGGTATCTGAAGAGTATTAATTAATTTTCTACAATTCAGCTTACAGCTCTCCTTTTAAAGATGTTTTGCAGCTCCCATCTTCCTGTTTCTATACAGTCTCCTCTACAACTTGGAAAAAAATAGCAAAAGATAATTTAAATCAAAGGTAGTTGATGCAGTGGTACAACAGGCTGAAGTTCTGTAAACAGTAAACTTGCATCCACTTTCAAGGTCAGTATTTACAGTAATGTTTGACGGTTTATAAGAGTAGCTTTTGTCATCCTAATTTAAACTACATCATTACAATTGGAAAATAAAAAATTCAATTTCTCCACTACTTTAAAGACAATTCCATTACTACAGTTCCCTTTCATTGTGTTTTTAAATCTTGCCAAGTTTAGCTCACAACATGCTCCAGCTCCCAAATGTTAGTGACTTCTTCATACTGTCAGGTGAATTAAAAAAAAAAAAAAAAGCAAACCTGACAATATACTTACAGTATGTCAAAGCTATACATCAAGTAAAAAGACCCTACTATTATTATTATTATGAAAAACATTATCCGTCCTGTATCAAAACTTTCTATAAAACTTTTAAGTATGTAACAGTAAATTAAGAATGTTACACAGGAAAAAATGCACTGCTCCTTACCATTTACTAACCCAGTTGTCCTGGCATAAATCAGTCATTCCTCTTTCTCCTTTCCCTTCAGCTCTAGCTAATTTAACAGCTAAGGTAAGTTTTGGTGTTTCAGTTTTTAAAAGTTTCACTCAACCTTTTCAAATAGGCTTATTAGAACTACAGCATCTCATTTACAGTATTACCACCAAAAAAAACCCCAAAACAACCCATCTTAAAAAAAAAAAAAAAAAAAAAAATCAGCATGGATACAATTCCAGTGAAACCATTTGTTCTTCTGCTCAAATCTTTCAAAACCTTAGATTAAGTGTGTAGCGCTGCTCAAGTAGATGGAGAGGAACTTGGAAAAAGTTGATACCACTGCATATCTCATGAAGACAGTTTTCAAAAATGTGTTCTGATGCCCATGGCAGCAGCTAATATGCATATTATCAGACATAAGGTAACTGCCTGATTAATCTGCTCCTCCGTAGGTATGTAATTTATAGTGTATTCATGTTACTGTGTCAGGCATTGCCAACATTAAACATGTTTAATTGTCACATACCATCAGATAGCATCATTTAAAGATACGCCAAAATATGAAAAGAAAAACAGAGTCTCTGTTTTAACATTCAGCTTACTTAAATACTTCTGAATATTGACAGAAAAAAAAACCAGAAAAAAATTCAAGTACTTGCAATAAAGATAATAATTAATGGAAAGTAAAATCAATAGCTTAGCATTAAATACTAATATAAACATTTTTACACATGCAAAGAAAAAAACCTGAATTTTATCAATGAGTGTTTAGCATCATCTACTGTGAATATGATAGACAGTTTCCAAGGGAAACAACTCTGGGCAGCAGAGTAGCTACAGGGAAAACTTATGGTGAAATTTTGGAACTTCATTAGTTTGGATTTGAATTTGGTGGATGGGTAAAGAAATCAACAATTTCATAGAACTATGTGAAGGACAGCTATCTGAGCAACTTCTACAACAATTAGCAACGCTGTGCAAGGTAAAATAAAAGTTTTCAATTTATTTATCCCCAAGTTCCTCAATGCAGGTTTTGATAGGTAATTTATGTACACATTCAGTTTTAGTCCACCCAATGTTAAACACACATTATATTTTATAAAATATGTCTGGCCTGACATTGCAAATTAATAACATAGATGCTAAAAGCTTTGTATGATCCTGAAAGAATATACATGCACTGTTTCCAGCACAAAGCCCCATCTGTGCTTCAGAAAACTGGAAACATCCCCATCCATACAAGTAGTTTTATATATTTTGTAAACTTTTTACTCAATGACTCCTATTTTTCTAACCACTTTGTATCTGAAATTTTATGTATGGGGCCTAGTACCTCACTATCTGCAGTAGATATTCACCCAAAATCGCATAGACAAAGTACCAATAAAAAAATGAAACCTCTCAAATCTGGCAACAGCACTAATATCCAGAGTAATACAGTATATTTATCTTCTGCCCTAAGGCCTTTTTGTCTGAGGAACAGTGTCCTAAGTCCTACTTAATTGCTTTACAAACCACGTAAAGTCTTTAGACAGACAGAATCAAAGTTATTTCCTTGATATTAAAATTACTAAGTGTCTCTCATTTGGTCCCGACCCAAACAGAGAGAAGCAGAGAGTAGTTCTGTCATTGAGGGAAGAGGACTGCATGCTTGCAACTGTGGTCAGTGGGAAACAAAAGTGAAGGCTTCCGCTGTTGAAGTTAATTGCAAATGCCTCGCTGGTAATTTAATCCAGGGAACCTGGACTGATAAAACATGGTAAAAATTTATTCAACTAATTTCCTCAACAGAGGCACCTAGAAAAGGCAAGGGGGTGAGATGGATGGGGCTCTCAAGCCGCATTTGATTTGCGGCTGCCAATTAAACCGAAGTGTTTTATAGGCAAAGTGTAGCAACTATCTTATTTTTACACCTCAGCACAATTTTTACTTGTCACATCACATTTGAAGCATATTTTTGGTATTCTAGTTTACTAAGCCTTTAAAAAAAAATAAAAAAATCCATTGCCATTTAAGTCAAATTAAAATCTAAGAATATTTTGGCTAAGCTAGTTTTCTTTAGGAACAACATCTTCCCAGCATCTTTAAAGAAGGTGCCCAGAAACAGCTGCAGTAAATAATACAACTACTTCTGAATAAGCACTACAATGAAAGAAGTGAAAGAAACACACAACTTCTACTCTTTATTTTTCCTGTATGATAATACGTTATATGGAGCTTTCAGAGACAACTCTAAAATACTCAAACACTACATTATAAAAATCAGTGCAGAATGGTGCATCTTGTACCACTAACCCATAAAGATATCCTCTGGCGAAATCTCCTGTTTCACAGTAAAAAACCATGCATAACTTGGCAGTGGGGAATGGAACAGTACGAGAGCCTTGGAAGTGGGGGGTTTGTTGGAAAAGTCCAGCATCAAGCTGGCCATTAACTCTGAACAGCACACACTTACAGCCTGTTGACCAGCTGCCATACAAGTCTAACTCCTAAAACTCCTGGCTACTACTGGATGGGTACAGATCATAAAACTCTCTCCAAAAGTACCCAAAGACAACTTCAGATACTTTAAAAAAAATAAAAAAACCCCCCAAAACCTCCAACCAACCAAAAACCAAACCAAAACAAAAACCCATTCAGTTTTACAAAACATAGCTTACCTTCAAGCCTGCTAGCCTTGCAGTATGGAATACACAACACATTTCAAGTCAATAAAGAGCCTATTGACCACAATCTAGACATACTGTAAGTCACAGTATGCAGCTACTAGGCTAAAGTACCTCTGATGCATAAAGAGAAAAAAAGTCAAATGCCTAGACTCAATAATCTACAGTTTTAAAATAATGAAATATGCATTAGTTCAAAAAGATTATCTGAAATAACTCCTTATTAGAACACAACTTACCAAATATTTATGAGAAACTTGGCACACTTCTTGTGAAGTGAATTATGTATTATTTGCCTCTGACCTTTTGAATTCAAACTCCTATTGAGGTCATGGCAAAGCTCCCATAGGACTCTCAGCTTAATTCAAGAAATACTAGTAGTGCTAAGAATCTTGTAATCAGCCAGAATCAAATGCTCTTTAACAGTCTGATCCTAGAAAACCCTTATTCTAGAGCCAACTGAGGATATTAGAAAATGTTCATCAGTTCACTGACTGGGACCTAAATTAGTATCAGACTGCATACACTCCATCTGAAGACAGTATTTCTGCAGGTGGGACACCTTCATCTCTTGCACTGTATTTGGTTTCTTCACTGGTAACCAAGACAAAGTAAGGGTACAGATCTTCCATGACAAAAATAGGGTATCTTCTAACTGCATAGCGTAGACAAAGGGTTGCTGCACTTTCAACCATTTTGGAAGTTCAAAGCCAATACTGGTCAGTTTAACAGTGTCAGAAAGGACCCAGACCAGAGAGTGGGACTCTCCACTGGGAAGTACTATATGACCTTACATAGCCCTAATGCAGAAGAATACTTTCTCTTACAAACTTTAGGACAAAAAAACCCCCTGTGTTCACCTCCACTATTCTGCAGTCCAGGGAGAACTGAAAGCAAACATAATACAAAAGCATATTATGACTTTTCATGTGTTTTTTAAATCCTAACTGAAATCAAGAGTAAACTGGATCCTGTGCCATTTCCAGTCCTTTTTCAAAGCCTAGGAACCAGAACCTTACGCACAAGTATCCGAATTTAAGATACTTATTCATATATGGATCTGAGAAGCAATTGAAATTTTGGTTCTGTCTCTGTACTGTTACCCAAACAAGTGTAATATAGACTCCTAGCCTTACAAATCTTAATCATTTTTTCACCTACTATGAACTTAAAAATCTACTTTCTAGAAATCCAACAGACATCTTTCCTTACAGCTTTGAATAGCTTGGGTACATGCTTATTTCCCAAATATACTGTTGCATGTTATCCATGAACTGAGCAGTAGTTATAAAATTGCCAATTACATATGACGTATAGTGTTATTGCTAATAACAGCATTCAAGCATGTGCTTACATTTTTTCATAGTACAGAGTATATAAAAATGGAGATAAAAATACCAGACCTGCAATACTATTACAAGGAAACGATAATTCAAGTATTCTATTATTTCCAAGGAAAGCCTTATGCAGTTTTCTTTCTCATTTGAAATATTAACAGTAGACTTCAGATCAATGTTATGTTCTTCAGCATTAATCCTGCTCAAGTTTTTCTGATATTCTACTTGGGGAGCTACCATATCACATCATAGAAATCCTGCTTCATATGAGAATAAATTTGAAACAGTGAATTGCATGAAACTGATTTTGTCAGGTTTGTCCTGAGGTTCTACTTTGGCAGGTTTTATCCTTCCACAGTGATGCAGTCAAAAAAAGCCAGTACAAGAGATTCATGCTACACTATCTTGGGTCTAATTTACCGTTGTTTCAGTTGTGAGGGAAGAGACATCTTCTGGATGCATTTCCTAATTATTATGATAGCCATCTTTTTTTTTTCTTTTTCTTTTTTTTTTTTTTTAAGTGATCTAGTAAATTTGTATTGATTTGAAGACTAGGCACATAATCTTTAGTGTTAGAATGGAAATAAATTACTTAATGGTACCTTAGAACAGGTAGATGAGAAATCAATTGAGCTGATGAAAAATCTATCTTCAACCTCTATTATTAATTATAAGCTGGCTTTTCTGAATCTGCAGTTTCGTAGTGCAGATCTACATTATATATAGATGTCACAAAACAATCTTCATTACTAATACTAGATGAGTATGCTGGAATCCAATTCTTTCAGAGTTCATTTAGTTTCTGCCATTCGTCTTGCTTGGCCACTTTCTACAATGCATCCAGTAGGCTTAATGAAAACAGCATGGCCAGTTCTACCTCAGTTTCTGAGCAACTTCCTTTTCTGGATTTCATGCAATCATCAACCGCTGAAATGCTGGGAATGCAGTCGCTTCTAAGGACATGCTTAAAATAAATAACATGTTTGTTAAGATAGCTCTTCTTAAGTCCTCCTGTCTTATGTATTTCATTTATTAAAGAACCCAAAGCCCTGCCGGAAGCATTAGTCCTGTAGCCAATCATTTATGGCCTGAATTCTTCTATTCCATCCCACGTCAGCACCCAAAAGTGGAAGGAGGGAAGAGAAAATTACCTGTGCCCAAGACCCTTTCACCAACCATCCCAAGGCCTTGAAATCTTTCTTCATTGCCCTCAGACTACAGGATGCATCTTCCTCCCCACCTGTCTGGAAGATCAGCAGTGGGTAGTAGTCCGTCAGGTGCACCAGATTGGGGAGTACCCTGGTGATATCCCTGATCCGGGCTCCAGGAAGACTACATACTTCCCTATGTTGAGGGTCAAACCTGCATATTGGGCCCTCTGTCCCTCTCAGAAGGGAATCGCCTACTACAATTACCCTTCTTTCTTTCTTATCAGAGGAAAAGGGCAAGAAGGAGGACCCGGGTAACTACAGACCGGTCAGCCTCACCTCCATCCCTGGGAAGGTGATGGAATGACTTATCCTTGGTGCCATCTCAAGGCACATCAAGGATAAGGGAGTCATTAGGGGCAGTCAACATGGCTTCA